GGACTGGGACACGGTGTGTATGTGGGGGTGTTTGGTTCGTGGAATTCACCTCGGCGGCAAGCTATTCTCTCAGACAGCAGTCATAGAGACAAAATACTTAAAGCTGCAACATGTACATTTTTGGCCGACCCGACCAAATCCACATAGAAAAGTGAGTTATAGATCTGTCATTCTCGTTGAAAGCAAGTCTAAGAAGCTGTAGATATGTTCTATGTGCGCTATTTCTATGCTTCCCGTTCTTAAGTTTAGTTTTTGCATCTTTTACTTTCGGTTTTGTACACAAGCTTCAAACAGTTGAAAATCGCATATTTTTGGTTATGAAAATGGTACAATGATTCTCTACACTATACTTGCTTGTTTTGTCACAAACTGAAATTAGGCGAACTATTAGAATTTGAGCAACCAGGAAATGGCGGAGTGATTTCTGCATAGTGCATCTTTAAAAGTTGTATATTAATGGATTTAAAGTTGATATGTTAATGGTTTTAAAGTTTAAAGTATATGGCATTTTATCCCGACTTGTCATGCGTGCATACCACAGGATGTTGGTGGCACCTTAATTGGGGAGAACAGGGTCGTGGTAATGACTGGAGCGGAAAATAGGTGGACTGGTACCAGGTCTGCCGAGTGGCGCAGTGGTCTAAGGCACTGCATCGCAGTGCTAGCTGTGCCACTAGAGATCCTGGTTCAAATCCAGGCTCTGTCGTTGCCGACCGCGACCGGGAGACCCATGGGACGGCGCACAATTGGTCCAGGGTAGGGGAGGGAATGGCTGGCAGGGATGTAGCTTAGTTGGTAGAGCACGGTGTTTGCAACGCCAGGGTTGTGGGTTTGATTCCCACAGGGGGCCAGTATTAAAAAAATTATAATGCATGCACTCACTAACTGTAAGTCACTCTGGATAAGAGCGTCTGCTAAATGACTAAAATGTTCCATTCCATTCCATTCGCTCCGTTCCGGTCATTATTATGAGCCGTCCTCCCCCCTCAGCAGCTTCCTGTGGGGTGCCTGAGCGGCAATCAAACCCTCGACCCTTGGCATTGCAAGTGCCTTGCTCTAGGGCCTAAGAAGAGACAGTAGAGGCCCCCAAGGTCACCTTCACTGAAAGGGACACAGAGACGGCCATTTGTACATTTTAGGCTGATTTCCAGAGCACCTTTGTCAAATCTAAGACTATCGATTTCAACCATGTTGGGGAGTAGTGAACTACATGTAGTTTAACTAGTAAGTTAACTACATTTTGCAGTGGCTTGATGGTAGCTGAACTAAATTCAGATCTTGGTAGTGTTTTCAGCAGCTAATTTAGCCATGTAGCTAACTACTGGAACTACACACAACTTTTTCTTATTATTATTATTGCAAAAAACAATAAGAAAATATGGGTAGAAGGATTACTGTTATACTATTCCAGGTATTCCTTAAAGAGGGTTTCAAGTGTCTAGATAGATAGAGGTTGAATTACAATGAATAAGATATAGCCCACAAAAGAATTCCCCAACCTCACAGCATTATCATTATGATGAAGATTAAAATAATTGTAAAATTCTGAACAATATTACATAATTTAGGTTATCAAAAGTCTTCAAGACAAGATAGGAATGGATTTTTTTAATTTCTTTTTTTTTTAAACCCATCACATGATTGAAGTTCATCATTAATTAATGTATATGATAATGAATAGATTGGATGTAAAGTCATTTAGGGGGTAACCCTAATCCTGGTAACCGTGGTAAATTGGGGTTGTCGAACGGTAACATAAACCACAGGTTGACGGGCCTTTGCCTAAGTGTGGCTTTGGGACATTTCTCACACACATAGCACTACATGTGCCAGCACTGAACACACACACACACACACGACTGAATCTATGTGACTGAACACACACACACACACGACTGAATCTACGTGACTGAACACACACACACACACGACTGAATCTATGTGACTGAACACACACACACACACACGACTGAATCTATGTGACTGAACACACACACACACACGACTGAATCTACGTGACTGAACACACACACACACGACTGAATCTACGTGACTGAACACACACCAACACACACGACTGAATCTACGTGACTGAACACACACACACACACACGACTGAATCTACGTGACTGAACACACACACACACGACTGAATCTACGTGACTGAACACACACACACACACGACTGAATCTACGTGACTGAACACACACACACACTGACTGAATCTACGTGACTGAACACACACACACACACACGACTGAATCTATGTGACTGAACACACACACACACACGACTGAATCTACGTGACTGAACACACACACACACGACTGAATCTACGTGACTGAACACACACACACAACGACTGAATCTACGTGACTGAACACAACCACACACGACTGAATCTACGTGACTGAACACACCACACACACACACGACTGAATCTACGTAGACTGAACACACACACACCACACGACTGAATCTACGTGACTGAACACACACACACCACGACTGAATCTACGTGACTGAACACACACACACACGACTGAATCTACGTGACTGAACACACACACACACGACTGAATCTACGTGACTGAACACACACACACACACACGACTGAATCTACGTGACTGAACACACACACATGCTACTGCGTGTAAAAGCCCGTTTCAAGTATCAAGTTATGTCACGTGCACAAGTACAGTGAAATGCCTTTCTTTCCAGCTCCAAACCCAACAACGCAGTAATCAATATCAATGTAGTACGTTTTCTACATGTGTACAATGCAACAAAAAAATGAAATATGGTTTAAGATGTGTGTGGCCATTACAATATAATAAAGAGTCAATGATATTTGGGGCGTAGACTAGTAGTCATCAAATAACGTGTCAAAGGTCAACTTCACCATTTGAAGAAACGCAGCAAGTTCATGAGTTTACAGCAGCAAATCAATGGATTTAGGAGCAACTTTGGGTTCGGCAGCCCGATGATAGCATGAAATGAAATGTTCTCGCCAACATAAAGAAAATAAAAAGCTGAGAAAAATGTACAAAAATGGCTCATCAACCAAAATGTGTTATACTATTTGCCGGAGTCCCACTCGACCACAACTCTCCATCGCATGTACCATCCACATGTAACCTTACATCTCTAGATGCAATACCTTCTTGCAGCACATTCTAGTTTAGATTTCCCGAAGCTGCTGTAGGATCCATTCAGACTCATGTGGCCAAGAGAGCGAGGCATATGCAATGTATCAGTAGTTCTCTTAGTCATCGTCTTACCATTGTTACATCAACCTTTGCCTACGTGTGGTTTTGGGAAAGTTCTCGTCACTACATGCGCCAGCACTGAACACACACACACACTACTGCATGAAACACATTCGACTTGACATAGCGCACAAAAAAATACCCCCAACTGACATAAATGAGTAAGAGTAAAGATTCCTGAATAGAAAATGAATGAAGTAAAAGTGTCTCACGGTAAAATATTACTTAAGTAAATGTAAAATCAAATACTTTTACTCAAGTATCAAAAGTAAAAAGCGTAAATCAGTTCACATTCCTTACATTAGGCAAACCAGACAGCACCATTTTCTTGTTTTTAATTTATGGCAAGCCAGGGGGCACAGTCGAAATGTAACGAGTACTTTTGGGTGTCAGGGGAAATGTATGGAGTAAAAAGTACATTATTTTCTTCAGGAATGTAGTGAAGTAAAATTAGTCAAAAATTTAAATAGTAAAGTACAGATACCCCCCAAAATATGTTTTTAAATAAGTACTTTACACCACTGCAGGAGACTGAACACTCAAATCCTTATAGTAACTAACAACCATCTTGTCTGTGGGTAGTCACCTGTGTCAAGGGGGGGGGGGATTTAATAGGGTCATGAGATCCCTTCTCTTTCTGACATACTTAATCACACCTGTAACGCTCCTGTGCCTGCAAGGCTTAACGGTAAGCGTGTGGCATTTGGCCAACGTCTCACACACACAGAACAAGGCAAAGGCATACACATATGAAACACACTTTATTCAAATCACATTTTATTTGTCACATTCGCCGAATAAAACAGGTGTAGACCTTACAGTGAAACGCTTACTTACAAGCCCTTAACCAACAATGCATTTTTAAGAAAGAATACCCTAAAGAATTAAAATAAAAAGTAACAAATAATTAAAGAGCAGCAGTAAAAAGAACAATAGTAAAATAAATCTAATAAATTCTGTGTAGAGGGAGAGCGACAGAAACAGAGTCGATGTTTGTCAACAGGCAATATTACACAGGACATTTATTTTACTCGGTTCAACTTTGAGTCAGAACAACTTCAAGCTGTAGTCCGTAGCTTTCTCCAACACAATGACAGTTCTATTCACTGGAACACTGATTATTCAAAAATCAACCGTTTTCACATTCAAATTCAAACTCCAACGTTTCATAAATAACAGAACTAAAAAGTTCCTTTTAAACAGTTTTTCTAAACAATGGCAAACAAAAACATTTTGATCAGATCTTATCACCTTTTTTTTTTTTGTTTTGTTGCACCGGCTAAAACTTCTGTTCGTACTGCTTCTGCTAGATGTCTGTGGTCTAAAAACATCCTTACTGCATTCTCCCTCTGCTCGCGGTCTAAAAGTTCAGTTTATCCGTTTCTTATTCTGGCCTGTTCTAGTCCTGGTGTCCTCCTAAGCGAAGGGGAAGGTCAGCAGAACAGCCTGTCCCTGGTCCCAGCAGCAGTTCATCCAGCGAGACAGAGCTGTCTGCGGCCAGGCTCTCAGGGTCCTGTACTCATCTTGACTTTAGCCCGCTCCGGGAGACCCAGGTCTGGGAAGAGGAGGAGGGAATCCTGTCAGTATTGTAACGTATAGCTTGACGATGTTTTTAATCATGTTGTTTCTGTGAGCTTTTATTGATTTTCACGACACACTAACGTCTCATTCGGAAAATATAAAATATATTGGAAAAAACAAGGATATTCAAATGAAATAAAAAAATACCTGGGTCGTTGAGGACCATGGATAGGGTGGTGATGAGGGATGAGGAGGAGGTGTGGAGGGGGAAGTAGTCCCCGTGAAGGAGGGAACGTTCTTCACCCCTCAGGTCAGAGAGGGTCTTAAACCACGAACGACAGGTCAGACGATGAGTCTTCTGGGCCTGGAGAGGAGAGAGACCAACAATACTGGGTGATATAAATTGGCTGTTGGAGGGTTTGAATCCTAATCTGCCCTTTGGTGGATACATGTTGACTGAAGTCCACTAGACCAACATAGCTACTGTAGTAGGTCAAAGCTGTGTGCTGGAAAACCTTGGTAGTGCATTAGAATTTCAGTTTTTTTTACTAGCCAAACTTCTCAGTTAAAACATTTGACAAAATTTGAATAAAACAACACGTATAGTACCAGAGAGCAGTATAACCAGTCTGTACCTTGGCAGCTCCTTCAGTAGCAGCCTCAGTGTGGAGCCAACTATCCCCATCTCATCTCCATAGTTGAAGACAGGAGTTCCAAGGCAGAGTGAACAGAAGTAGCTGGGATGAGAATAAATACTTGATTACCCATCCAGGGGAAATTGATTTTGTCAATCATCCGCAAGTACACCTTCACGCTTGCAGGAAGGATTTCCTGTACCTGGTAGAGCCGCACCAGCTCTGGTTTCTCCACCAGCGCTAGCCAGGTGGTTCCCCCTGGTCCCTCCTAGTCCCCAGGCTAGAGAGCTCTGTTTCTGGGTAGAGAGATCAGATCCTGGATGGACATGGGCTCTCTGGACACCTGGAGGATGAGATGGTTAGGTTTATGTTGAGGTTTAAGATTTTGGTACATGTGTTGGGGAGTGTGTGTCTTTTCATATTGTCTTTCGTCATATCATTATGGTTAGCTTGGTAATTCAGATGTGTGTGTGTGTGTGTGTGTGTGTGTGTGTGTGTGTGTGTGTGTGGCTGTCTGTGTGTGTGTGTGTGTGTGTGTGTGTGTGGCTGTCTGTGTGTGTGTGTGTGTGTGTGTGTGTGTGGCTGTCTGTGTGTGTGTGGCTGTCTGTGTGTGTGTGTGTGTGTGTAGGGCCATTTTAGCAAATCATCCTCCTCCTCTTCCTGGTCTTCTTCGTCAGTGTTTACCTGAGTCTCCAGGGGTCGTGAGGACATCGGACAACAGCAGGTCCACACCAGAGGAGTTGAGAGACAGCAGAGGAGTCCATCTACCACTCTTATCAGAGCTCTGGAGGAAGAGGAGGAGTTTAGAACAGACCATCTACCACTCCTATCAGAGCTCTGGAGGAAGAGGAGGAGTTTAGAACAGACCATCTACCACTCCTATCAGAGCTCTGGAGGAAGAGGAGGAGTTTAGAACAGACCATCTACCACTCCTATCAGAGCTCTGGAGGAAGAGGAGGAGTTTAGAAACAGACCATCTACCACTCCTATCAGAGCTCTGGAGGAAGAGGAGGAGTTTAGAACAGACCATCTACCACTCTTATCAGAGCTCTGGAGGAAGAGGAGGAGTTTAGAACAGACCATCTACCACTCCTATCAGAGCTCTGGAGGAAGAGGAGGAGTTTAGAACAGACCATCTACCACTCCTATCAGAGCTCTGGAGGAAGAGGAGGAGTTTAGAACATGTTCAATATTACTCTCAATGGACAATCTCTATTGAAAGTACATTTTAGTACAGGACTAAGCTCAATCTGTGTCCAGCAAACCGGCCCAAAGAGTCAAGAGTCGGAGTGCCGATCTAGGATCATAATAAGATCACATGATCATAATAAGATCACATGACAGGAGGGACCTGCTCCTGGATCAGCACTACTACTCTGAGACGCTTCATGAACAGACCCGACTCCCACAGTACCCCTAACTGGCCAAGGGAGGGCACTACTCTGTATTAGCCAGACAGACTGCATGCGTTTGACTGCAGACTGCACCCTTTCCCTGGGTTCCCCAGACTTTATTGAGCCCTGATCCAACTAAAGCCTTCTGATTTCCGACTACACTGATCAAAACAACGTGTCAACTGAGCCACGACCCAGGCATTAAAGCCAGGTTCTGACCATCAGAGCAGATGAGTCAAGGAGAGGAAAAGTACTTTATAGACTATTGAGATGCAGCCGTAAGCCTTGCAGCCTCCCGGCAGCTACCTCCTCACAGTGTCTGTGTTAGGGCGGCTTGTCTGTGTTAGGGTGGCTTGTCTGTGTTAGGGTGGCTTGTCTGTGTTAGGGTGGCTTGTCTGTGTTAGGGTGGCTTGTCTGTGTTAGGGTGGCTTGTCTGTGTTAGGGTGGCTTGTCTGTGTTAGGGTGGCTTGTCTGTGTTAGGGCGGCTTGTCTGTGTTAGGGCGGCTTGTCTGTGTTAGGGCGGCTTGTCTGTGTTAGGGCGGCTTGTCTGTGTTAGGGCGGCTTGTCTGTGTTAGGGCGGCTTGTCTGTGTTAGGGTGGCTTGTCTGTGTTAGGGCGGCTTGTCTGTGTTAGGGCGGCTTGTCTGTGTTAGGGTGGCTTGTCTGTGTTAGGGTGGCTTGTCTGTGTTAGGGTGGCTTGTCTGTGTTAGGGTGGCTTGTCTATGTTAGGGCGGCTTGTCTGTGTTAGGGTGGCTTTAAACCAATGCCCATGATGAGTAGCTGTGTTTTTTACGCATCTGTTTGTCTGGTTTGAAAAGAGCCTTTATACACTCGCTGCAACTTTTCCGTGTTTGACCTCCAGTTACGCTTTTGACATCTATTTCCTGTTTGACCTAAAGTTACCTCTTCTTCACATCTTTGTTCTGTCCTGTTGACATCTATTTCCTGTCTGACCTAAAGTTACCTCTTCTTCACATCTTTGTTCTGTCCTGTTGACATCTATTTCCTGTCTGACCTAAAGTTACCTCTTCTTCACAACTTGTTCTGTCCTGTTGCCCTGGAAGACGCCCTGGACCTTGTACCAATCAGGAGAGGAGCTGGCAGCAGCGAGGCCGGACACCTGCACGCCATCTACACCCATACCCAGCCAGTGTTTAGCAGCAGACTGGAGAATTAATGAATAATTGTATTAGACACATTTCACATACAGAGTTGCCTCAGCCATTAGAGTAGGGTGGTTAATAGACTAACAGACCAGTCACACAGAGTGAGAGAAGCCATTATGAAGGGTATTCATTTAAACAGAGAGGCACACTGGAGGACAGAGAGAAGACATTATGAAGGGTATTCATTTAAACAGAGAGGCACACTGGAGGACAGAGAGAAGACATTAAGAAGGGTATTCAAAATGGCACAGATCACTTTCTCTCACACGCAGATTGTCCAGTACTTCAGGCAGGCGGTCAGGACTGAACCAGGGGTCAGCTCCAGGGTTAGGGGTCAGGTTCAACACCACCGAGATACCTGACAGACAGAAATAAAAGTGCTGCAGTCAGGAGAGAGATCATTATTGGGAGCTCAGGTATTTTAAGGGTTTATAAAAACCCAAGATTCATTATTACACTATAATATTTACTGTTGTCAGCTGAATAGGACAAACAGCCAGGCCTCAGATCAGAGACCGGCAGCTCAAACAACCACACCTTGTGCAGAGCAGGTTTGTGTCCCAGTCACTCACCCTTCTTGTGGGCCTTGTCCAGCAGAGCCAGCAGGTCCTGGTCAGTTCCTACCCGAGGGTCCATGGAGACCAGGTCTAGTGTGTCTGCCTGGTCCTGCAGTACAGTGTGGAGAGGCCCCAGAACCAGGCCCTTCACCTTCAACTGGTTCAGACTGTCTAATACTTCCACTACACCTGGAGAGAGGGGGGAGGAGAGAGAGAGAAAGGGAGAGATAGAAGTGAATCCTTCTGCACAGACAAGGCCCTTCACCACAACCATGTACAGGTCAGAAGGTGATAGGATGGGGGGAGGGGCCAGTGGAAAGGGGAGGGGCCATTGGAAAGGGGAGGGGACAGGGGAAAGGGGAGGGGACAGGGGAAAGGGACAGGGGAAAGGACAGGGGAAAGGGGGGGGGGACAGTGGATGAGGGGAGGGGACAGTGGAAAGGAGAGGGGACCGTGGAAGAGGGGAGGGGACAGTGGAAAGGAGAGGGGACAGTGGAAAGGAGAGGGGACAGTGGAAAAGGAGAGGGGACCGTGGAAAGGAGAGGGGACCGTGGAAGAGGGGAGGGGACAGTGGAAAGGAAGAGAGGGACAGTGGAAAGGGAGGAGGGACCGTGGAATGAGGGGAGAGGGGACAGTGTGAAAGAGGGGATGGGGACAGTGGGAAAAATGGAGAGGGGAGGGACAGTGGAAAGGTAGGGGTGACCAGTGTGTAAGAGGGGTAGGGTGAACCAGTGTAATGAGAGAGGGGACAGTTGGGCAACAGAGGAGAGGGGACAGTGGAAAGGGGGGTGAGAGGTGATAAGAAAGGAGGAAGAGAACAGATAGAAAAGAGGAGTAGTGTGCTTCAGTGAGCAGGTACTGACTCAGAGCAAGTGTGTGTGAATCTTTCCTTCAGTCCCGGTGTGTGAAGGGAAAACAAGGCCAGTCAGGTGTTTTAACGGGAAAAAGGGTCTAGAATCAGTTTACTGTTAGCCAAAACGGCACGTGAAAACTGAAAGAGATAGAAATGGGCCCTCGTGTCCTACAATCAACTTACAAAAGACTCACATTTGTTGACAATTTATCAGACGCTCTTATCCAGAGCGACTTACAGGAGCAATTAGGGTTAAGTGCCTTGCTCAGGGGCACAGACAGATTTTTCACCTAGTCAGCTCGCGGATTCGAACAAGCGAACTTTTGAAACTGAAATTATGACAAGTCTGTTTTTTGTTTTTGTTTTTTTTAACAGAAAATGACGTTTTTCGGGGGGGGGGGGTTCTACCATGAACTCTAGTTTGAGTCAGATAGCGGTTAGCGAAGTCAGCAGTTAGTAGGCTGGAGGACAGGCAGCTGAGAGTCACAAGACACTCTGACTGACTGCCTCATTTAACCACAAGCCTGACAACTCACTCAACCTAGATTCACTTCCTTCAAATCAAGGGTTCTCCTTTCTCATGGCAGACGCTAATAAGATGTTCTTTAAATGTAACGGTATCCTACTACATAATGGGGCAGGGGGACGTCTGTGTGTCTGTATAGAGGACCCTGGTTCCACCAGTATGATCTACTACATTACCCATAATGCTGTGTATGATATCCTGTTTTATCTTAGTAGATATTCCTGAAGCTAATTGTGTCCCATCTCCTCATCAATACCCTCACCTTTGATTCCCTTGTCGTGGTTGAAGGCGCCCAGGTCAGATATCTGATAGAGAGGACCCTGATTCCACCAGTTCATCTCAGGTTGGGGTTTACACCTGGGGGCCTGGACGATGATCACTATGGCTCCAGCCAGCATCCCCACCCAGCCCAGCCAGAACAGCACCAGGAGAACCCAGCGAGTCCTCACCCACCTGGAGGGGAGAAATAAATACATAAATGTTGTCACAGAGACCGGATAGGTTCAGTGAAATGTGTTGTTTTACAGCCATAGTAGTATAACGCCCCTGTAGCAAATTATGGTTAAGTGCCTTGGTCAAGGGCACAGCGACAGATATTTCACCTTGTCTACTCGGGTATTCGAACCAGCAACCGAGTGAAATAAGTTTCAATTGTAGAATATACATAGCTACATTGTAGATTCAGTAATTCGAATTGATTTATAGCAACTTTACGTTTAATTTAGCTAGCAATACAGTTTTAAAAAAAAGTATAAGCCAACAACAACCATCTCTTAATTTACCCTGGTGTGCCAGAAACTTTTATGAGCTCTTCCTTCAACAGCCCGGTAAACTTGACATCCTCATCCGGTACCTTCAGCTTCACGCTCCCGTTCTTCTCAGTCCCCGGTCCGTCGCCGGCCATCGGTAGTTTCTCCTGGTCTAATTCGCTCAACTCAACATCCTTCATATCGATCTCGGTGTCCTTACTCATCTTCGGCACGATTTTGTTTTTTTATCTGTAGAAAAGACAACAGTGTCAAGTTCACCTTCAATTAAATGGAAACGTTAGCCTATCCTCCGAATGAAGGATCACCTCTTCGACAAACAGCGACTGGGCTCTTAACTTAAGACGTTAAAAAGTCACACGTTTCCATTTTTGAAGAGGTTTTTCCCGACATCTATAAGGCAGTTTTCCTTTCCTGTTGTGGGGCTATTGTGAAAAGTAGTCTAGTCAATCCAAATCATTCTTATATCGTCGTTATGTATCTTTTGTTAACTAAACAAACTAGCTACCGTTAGTTAGTTAGGCAATAAACCAGCTAGCTAATCAGTTGACGATAATCGCGCAGAAACCAACATTCCACCGGTCCAAACTAACAAAACATCTCAAAAGGTTTTTTGAAAATGTAGCTCAAAAGTGTTAGCTTCTCTCCCAAATGCATAAACGTTTGCCTCATAAAATTACCCGTTTAAAAAAAAAAGTCAGACTCCGTTGAGTCCGTAAAAGGTGTGTGCCTACTCGCTCTCTCTGTCCTCTCGACGCCCAGAGTGGCTCGCTTGTGGGTGTGCCGCCAGCATGTTCGACTGTGCGTCAACAATTCAGCATAGCAAGTTTGTATGAAGGTCTGGTTATTAAAATGGATAAAAAGTTTAATCCATTCTCCATTTCATGAATTTATTCACAGGTAAATAGTAATGTGCTCTAAACCGCTCTGGTGACAAAACAAACGTTGCTGCATTGTTTCCAATCTAGCTATCTAGACAAATTGACATACTGTATAGCTACCTAACTTTATATTAGCTAGCTATCTTTATGTATTTATCATTGTAAAAAAAAAAAAAAAACTCCAAATGCATTTGTAGGTAGCTAGCGAACAGCCACGGAGGAGGGTGAAAGGAGTGAGAGAGCAGGCTATTCTGGAAAGGGCAGGTACCTTTGTGTAGTTCCAGTCCCTAGAGTTGAGGACGGAGATAACAGTAACATCATATTCAGTGCGGTCTAATTTGAGCATAATGAAGTCTGTTTCTTGTGATGTTTTCTGTCCTCAGATACAGAGAGCAGTGAAAGCCTGTCTGCAGATGAAGAGGTCCCAATGAAGAGTAGTGGTTCTCAGTCCTGGTGCTGGGGACTCAAGCTTCAAGGGGTATTTATGTATTCATTTGTGACGCTATCCTTGATATGATCCTGCTGTTGTCACATGCTACACATGCAGCTAATCCATGCAATGCTATCAAATCAAATCAAATTGTATTTGTCACATGCGCCAAATACAACAGGTGTTGACCTTACCGTGAAATGCTTACTTACAAGCACTTAACCAACAATGCAGTTCAAGGAATAGAGTTAAGAAAATATTTACTAAATAAACGAAGGTTAAAAAATATATTTACAAAATAACACAATAAAATAACAATAACGAGGCTATATACAGGGGGTATCGGTACCGAGACAATGTGCGGGGGTACAGGTTAGATTTGTTTGTCACGCCCTGACTCTGGGGACTCTTATTTGTTGAGTCAGGGTGTGATCTTCTATGTAGTATTTTCTATGTGGGTTCTAGTATGGGTATTTCTATGTTGGCCGGTGTGGTTCCCAATCAGAGGCAGCTGTCGCTCGTTGTCTCTGATTGGGGACCATACTTAGGCAGCCTATTGGCACTGTGTAGTTGTGGGATCTTGTTCTGTGTGAGGTATGTTGTTTGTGTACCTTGGACTTTACGTGTAGTTTGTTGTTTATTCGGTTCAAATAAACATGTATGCATATCATGCTGTGCCTTGGTCTGACCCGTCTATGAATGAACGTGACATTGTTATGAGATATGATTTGTTATAAGGGATATTATACTTTAGTAATCCACAATGACCTGGTGATGTAAAAGTGTAATAATTACATTATCTTCCATATTCCTACAGATACCTTGCAACTGGAGATTCCTTCAAAACGATTGCCTACAGTTACCGTGTAGGGCACTGCACGGTTGGGTGACCAGGGCCATCTGGGACTGCCTCCTGGGGGAATTCAGGCGTGTGTGAAGGCTACCTGTGTCCTGCATAACTTCATGAGGATGGACACGAGGACCAGGAGGGGATCTGCAGCTCGCCGCCGTGTGCCAGAGGAGAGGTCTGCTGCTCTGCAGGATGTTTCAAGGATGGGGGCCAACAACGCAGCACGGCAGGCAATCTGTGTGCGGGAGATCTTCACCTCCTACTTCTTCGAAGAGGGTGCTGTTCCCTGGCAACACCATAGACTACACTATGCACAACCAAAGGCTATTTTAAGAGCCATTCACATTGCAATACGAGTATTCTTCCATTTACTTAGCTATGTCAACTGCAGTTATTACATTCCCAGTTTCTCTACCTTTTGATTTCTGCTTCTCAGGTGAGGGTGCTGTTCAGGTAAAGGTGATGTCTGTACAAAAACAAAACAGGCTATTTTAAGAGTCACCCATATTGAGCACAATTAGACACCCTATAACCCACACCTAAACACTCGTGTATCAATCTGACTGATGGATTGTGTTGTGCAGTAAGCAGGCTCTGGTGTAGAACTGTGGCTCCTTCCACCTTCAAAGAATAGGCCAGAGGACCAACCATGGAGAATAGTAAGACACTTCATTATTATTTATATAACTACACTATTGTTTGTCCTCGTGTGTCTGTGAATGTTTTTCAGTATAAAGTACTCTGCAGCCGCTCAGTGTGGACACCAGGTGAGGCCACACACAGAGATTCCTGTTGAACTGTGTCTCTTTAACTACCTTATTTTCTCAATAACAGTCTCTCTGCTTCACTTCATCGCTCTCCCCCCCCTTCTCCCTAAATCCTCTAGCTTATATCAGCTGTGTCGGTGAACCCCTCCCGCATCTGAACTGGCTACATAGAGGGCACAGCATGATCAGAGGTGAGAGGTCACTTGGTCGGGTCAACAGGAAGTATTATTAAAGAGATGCTTTACATTGAAATACAGACAGAGACGTAGTAGTCCCAGAGTTAATGATCCAAGGTCAGTTTTTGCATTTCACCTCCTGATGATTATGATGACTGACAGTGTTAGAATAAAAAGGCTTAATCATGCTCTCTCTCTCTCTCTCCATCAGTTTCTCGTCTGCAGGTATGGTTTGATGTGAGAGAGGATGCCAACCCCCAGTCCCGTCATCGCCACCTCACCCGCTCTTAAGATAACCTTCGGGCCGACTGGGGTCCCAAGGCTGGTTAGGAGACACCGCTAGAGACACTATTATGTAACTGTGATGAACTGAGAGAACATGAAGTTTAGTAGCACTGTAATTCATTAATCATATGCTGTCTTCCCTAGTAGCACTGTAATTCATTAATCATATGCTGTCTTCCCTAGTAGCACTGTAATTCATTAATCATATGCTGTCTTCCCTAGTAGCACTGTAATTCATTAATCATATGCTGTCTTCCCTAGTAGCACTGTAATTCATTAATCATATGCTGTCTTCCCTAGTAGCACTGTAATTCATTAATCATATGCTGTCTTCCCTAGTAGCACTGTGATTCATTAATCACATGCTGTCTTCCCTAGTAGCACTGTGATTCATTAATCATATGCTGTCTTCCCTAGTAGCACTGTAATTCATTAATCACATGCTGTCTTCCCTAGTAGCACTGTGATTCATTAATCATATGCTGTCTTCCCTAGTAGCACTGTAATTCATTAATCACATGCTGTCTTCCCTAGTAGAAGCCTGTAATTCATTAACATATGCTGTCTTCCCTAGTAGCAATGTAATTCATTAATCATAATGCGGTCTTCCCTAGTAGCACTGTAAGTCATTAATCACATGCTGGTCTTCCCTATTAGCACTGTAATCCTTAAATCACATGCTGTCTTCCTAGTAGCAATGTAATTCATTAATCGACATGCTGTCTTCCCTAGTAGCCACTGTAATCCATTAATCATATGATGCCGATCTTCCCAGTAGCACTGTATTCATTAATCAGATGCTTACTCCCTAGTAGCACTGTATTCATTAATCACATGAGTCTTCCCTAGTAGCACTGTAATTCATTAATCCACATGCCGTCTTCCCTATAGCATGTGATTCAATTAATCACATGCCGTTCTTCCCGATAGCACGGTTACTTCATTAATCACATGCCGTCCTCCCTAGTACACTGTAATGCATTAATCACATGCGTCTTCCCTAGTAGCACTGTAATTCATTAATCACATGCCGTCTTCCCTAGAGCAAATGTAATTCATTAATCACATGCCGTCTTCCCTAGTAGCACTGTAATTCATTAATCCAATGCCGTCTTCCCTAGTAGCACTGTAATTCATTAATCACATGCCGTCTTCCCTAGTAGCACTGTAATTCATTAATCACATGCCGTCTTCCCTAGTAGCACTGTAATTCATTAATCACATGCCGTCTTCCCTAGTAGCACTGTAATTCATTAATCACATGCTGTCTTCCCTAGTAGCACTGTAATTCATTAATCACATGCTGTCTTCCCTAGTAGCACTGTGATTCATTAATCATATGCTGTCTTCCCTAGTAGCACTGTAATTCATTAATCATATGCTGTCTTCCCTAGTAGCACTGTAATCATTAATCATATGCTGTCTTCCCTAGTAGCACTGTGATTCATTAATCATATGCTGTCTTCCCTAGAGCACTGTGATGTCATTAATCATATCGGTCGTTTTCCCTAGTAGCACTGTGATTCAGTAATCAGATGCTGTCCTTCCTAGTAGCATGTAAATTCATTATCATATGCGTCTCCCCACCCCTCTTCCTCCCACCTCTCCCCCACCTCTCTTTTCTCCCGCACCTCTCTCCCCACCATCTCTGTCTCCCACCTCGCTCCCCACCTTCCTCTTTCTCACCCTCCTCCCCACCTCCCTTTCTCACACTCTCTCCCCACCTCCTCTTCTTACACTCTCTCCCCACCGCCTCTTAGCTCACACCTCTCTCCCCACAGCACTTTCTCACACCTCCTCTCCCAAACCTCGTTCTC